CCCCCACGGGCGATAGGCCCACCAGGGCTAGGATTTCGGCTTTGAGCTAGTCATACGGTTCATTCCGGGGTGCCCTCAGGGCATAATAGGCCCGCTGCGCTTCTCCGGTGAGGAAGGGGGCGATAATGCAAGCCCACTCTTCCTGGCCCCCCCCCTCCCGGGCCGCGATGACCTCAAATGTGTGGAGGTAAGCCTCGATGTCGTCATTCTCGGTCAACCGGGAACCCCGCCACGCTGGCCTGCAGCTGTTCCACGACCCAGTCAGTATATTCCTGCCGGGCTGACAGTCGCTCGGTAAACTGCTGCTGGCGGGCCGAGAGCTCTGTGAGGTGGTGGATGACCTCTTCCATATGTCCGGGGGCAGAGAGTGGTTTCTCCTAGAAGAAGCACAGAGATCGTTATAGCCACCTGGCGGTACCGGTCTGTGTCTCAATTCACCTGTAATGCCCGCATTCTCCACCATATGTCGCAGGGTGAATGAGAACACAGACTCGGTACTGATCGAAAGAGCCCCGGAGGGTGATTTATTTGCCCACACACTGATCACACGTGCAACGCTAATCTGGACTCGGGATACTCGCCACACATTTCATCCATGTGTCTAATGCTCTATCATTCCATCCATCCATTCATCAGTCCGCCATTGTTTTACAATTCCATCCATCCATTGTTTTATCGTTCCATCCATCCATCCATCCATTGCTCTATCATTCCATCCATCCATCCGTCCGTCTATTGCTCTATCGGTCCATCCATCCATCAATTTATCATTCCATCCATCCATTCGTCCATCACTCTATCGTTCCATCCATCCATCCATCCATCCATCGCTTTATTATTCCATCCATCCATTGCTTTATCGTTCCATCCATCCATCACTCTAATGTTCCATCCATCCATCCAGCGCTTTATTATTCCATCCATCCATTCGTCCATCCCTCTATCGTTCCATCCATCCATCCAGCGCTTTATTATTCCATCCATCCATTCGTCCATCCCTCTATCGTTCCATCCATCCATCCAGCGCTTTATTATTCCATCCATCCATTCGTCCATCCCTCTATCGTTCCATCCATCCATCCAGCGCTTTATTATTCCATCCATCCATTCGTCCATCCCTCTATCGTTCCATCCATCCATCCAGCGCTTTATTATTCCATCCATCCATTCGTCCATCCCTCTATCGTTCCATCCATCCATCACTCTAATGTTCCATCCATCCATCCATTAATTGCTTTATCGTTCCATGCATCCATCTATCACTCTAACGTTACATCCATCCATCCATCCATTGCTCTATCATTCCATCCATCTGTCTATTGCTTTATAGATCCATCTGTCCATCACTCTAATGTTCCATCCATCCATCCATCCATCCATCGCTTTATCATTCCATCCATCCATTGCTTTATCGTTCCATCCATCCATCACTCTAATGTTCCATCCATCCATTCATTGCTTTATCGTTCCATGCATCCATCTATCACTCTAACGTTACATCCATCCATTTCTCTATCATTCCATCCATCTGTCTATTGCTCTATCATTCCATCTGTCCATCCATCTGTCCATTGCTTTATCATTCCATTCATCCATCCATCCATTGCTCTATCATTCCGTCCATCCGTATATTGCTCTGTCATTCCATCCATTCATCACTCTATTGTTCTATCTGTCCATCGTTCTATCGCTCAATCCCTCTATTGTTCCATCCATTCATTCGTCCATAATTTTATCATTCCATCCATCCGTCCATCGCTTTATCATTCCATCCATACATCCATCCATCCTTTTCTTTATCGTTCCATCCATCCATTTGTCCATCACTCTATTGTTCCATTCATTGCTTTATCGTTCCATCCATCCATCCATTGCTCTATCGTTCCATTCATCCATCCATTGCTCTATCGTTCTATCCACCCACCCATCTATCTATCCATAATTTCATTGGCAAAACAAGTTCATTTAGATGTTACCATCTGAAAAAAAAAAAAATTTGATTTAACTGACATAATGTATTGTGCAGTGCAATCCTCCTTTAAATGTACAAAGTGAGAGAAAGAGAGAATGACGGACAGCTAATCAGACACACAGAGGACAGAGGATGGAAGTGGAGAATACTATTACAGAATAAACTGCATTTATGGCATGAATCTATCTGCTTTATGTGTGCCTATAGAGACTGATTTATAATTGAGAAGTTTAAAGTGATTTTCGCTGAGTTCCTTCATTCATGTTTTGGTTGGTTGAGTCATTGATATTTCTGCAGCAGGAGTCGTTTGAAGAGTCTGCTAGAGTCAAACACTTCACGAAGAGTCTTTCCTTTATTATGACTCGTTTGATCTTTAAATTGAACAATAACAGCCCAGTATTGTCTTCTCATAGCGTCTCCCTCTGTGTGTCTTTCTGTCTGTCTGTGTGTTTAGCCATCCACTCCTGTAGCGTTGGGAACGGTGGCTGCGAGCATTTCTGCGTCCAGCAGACGGCGGGTCATTTCCAGTGCCGCTGCCGACCCGGTTACAGACTCGAAGTGGACGGAAAACATTGCAAATGTGAGTATGACCACACTGATGTTCAACTGCAGGACTTTCTCATGAACATTACATATTTATGATAGTAGCATGAACTTGAAGAAATATTTACAATCACAGTTGTTGACAGTGGGATTTTAGCGAAATTAAAATGCAAAGCACAGGTGGAGACAGACTGAATGTAAAAAAAAATGGTGTGTATTCCTTTAAAAAGCATTTATTTGTCATGTTCAAAGCACACTTTTATTTTTCCAGTGGAACACAAAAAGTTAGGCAAAGTTTTTCTGCTTCTCTTTCCATAAAACAAACATAGTGGCTTTGAAGCTTCATAATGTGCAAAGCAAGTACATTGTACTACCATACAAGTAGTCAAAATTGCATTACAGTTTTTATGAGTATGATGTGAAATTTGTTTAACAGTACACATTTTTTTCTTCTGTGGAACACAAGCATAGTAGTTAAGTAAAGTTTTCATCCCTTTTCCTTCAATACAACACACATAGGGGCTATGAAGCTCCAAAATGGACAAAACCATAAAATAGTCATAACCAACAAGTTTTGGAAAGCCATACTTTTTTTTTTTTGTCCTTTTTACATTCAGCATAAAGTCATTCAGCTTTGTGTCAATTTGAGGGAAAGTAAATTGTTTTATTTTGTTTTAATAGTTTAATTTCTTTCACTAGCAATGAATACAAATAAAATTTGACTGTATTGATCTCCACGCACAGATATGAATGTGTTTGCTCTGATGAACAGGTCATAGTGGAGTTGTTTGCTGTAAGGTTGAAGCGTTTGTCAAACATCATGGACACATAATGCATGATAACTTCTATTCCCAGATGCATGTAAGTGTCCTAATGACAGAGAATTAAACTGAGGTTTAACTCTACAAGTAATATAAATCATTCTTTTTAATGTCTTATTGTTCAAATGTATTTCAAGCCAAGCGTTTTCATCCTTTGAAGTTCTAAAAATCACAAAAACGACCTGAGAAGATTTAGTGGAAATATGATTTTGGTCTTTGAGATGATGTTGCCCTTTGATTCACTTGATGACATAATATCACAAACTGGTGACTTCAGCAGGGACATGTCTTTGTTTCTCGTCTCGGAGGTCATCCAGAGTTGAACACGGATATGTCTTTCTCTGATGAAGAATTGCATTACAGTTTTTATGAGTATGATGTGAAATTTGTTTAACAGTACACATTTTTTTCTTCTGTGGAACACAAGCATAGTAGTTAAGTAAAGTTTTCATCCCTTTTCCTTCAATACAACACACATAGGGGCTATGAAGCTCCAAAATGGACAAAACCATAAAATAGTCATAACCAACAAGTTTTGGAAAGCCATACTTTTTTTTTTTTGTCCTTTTTACATTCAGCATAAAGTCATTCAGCTTTGTGTCAATTTGAGGGAAAGTAAATTGTTTTATTTTGTTTTAATAGTTTAATTTCTTTCACTAGCAATGAATACAAATAAAATTTGACTGTATTGATCTCCACGCACAGATATGAATGTGTTTGCTCTGATGAACAGGCCATAGTGGAGTTGTTTGCTGTAAGGTTGAAGCGTTTGTCAAACATCATGGACACATAATGCATGATAACTTCTATTCCCAGATGCATGTAAGTGTCCTAATGACAGAGAATTAAACTGAGGTTTAACTCTACAAGTAATATAAATCATTCTTTTTAATGTCTTATTGTTCAAATGTATTTCAAGCCAAGCGTTTTCATCCTTTGAAGTTCTAAAAATCACAAAAACGACCTGAGAAGATTTAGTGGAAATATGATTTCATATTCATATCCCTTCAGCAGGGACATGTCTTTGTGTCTCGTCTCGGAGGTCATCCAGAGTTGAACACGGATATGTCTTTCTCTGATGAAGGATCATAATTGCAGAATAATTTCTGCCATTCTGTTTCTGTAAAAGTGTAATTGTTGGCTGTAGACAGATCGTTTCACTGCAGCTGTTGGACGGACAGAAACATGTTAAACACAGAGTGTGTGAGAGGAGTTATTCAGAGCAGCTGGATGAGGATGATGGGACATTTGTGTTACAAATATGATAAATAATCTCACAAAAACATGTCCAGGTCACCCCTAATAATAATAATAATAATAATAATTACATAAAATAAAAAAAGAGAAAGAAAAAAGTAAGAAAAAGTGTTTTTATTTCACATTTCTTCCCAACATAATATAGGTATGTATGAAAGCCATTGTATTACTACAAAAGAAAATTGTCATGATGCAAATTGCATTGCATATTGGTCCTAAAAATACATTATATACATGTGTATATATATACACACACACACACAACATTGACAATGTTGTTTTCTTGTCTTTAAAACTTTCTATAAAATAATTGCAATGCAAAATAAACATTGTCAAGCAAACAAATAAATAAAAAGAAATACGAAAAAATTATGCAAAATTTTAATTTCTCTTTTTTGAGTTTGGGGTGAAATATGAGTTTTTTAGTTTTTTTTTAGTGCCAACAACCTAAAAATGGCATTAATAATAAAGCTGTAACACAGTCGGTTCTTGTGTTATCAGCGGAGAATCCGTGTGTGCAGCGAAACGGCGGTTGTTCTCAGGAATGCCGCAGGGATGGAGATCAGGCCCGCTGTGGATGTCATCCAGGTTATCAACTGGCTGAAGATGGCAAGACCTGTGAAGGTAAAATGTACCTGGGATTAGGGCTGCATGATAAATCGCATGCGATATTTAATGCGCATCTTGTCAGTGTCAAGTTCATATATGATCGTGTCAGTGAACAACGGCTCTGTGTAGTAAATGGTGCTCCATGTGAAAGCACGCATGTGATAGAGATTTACCACTGATTAAATATCGCATGCGATTTATCATGCAACCCTACCTGGGATGGTGAGCTATATTTAGTGTGGATTATAGAGTTTGTGTCAGATGCTTATAGAATAGAAATCTTACATGTCATTAATGGTCATCATGTCTTCATGCTCAAGTGATCTTTAAAGTGTAGCATATGTGTTTGTATGTGTGTTGTCTTTGCATCAGACATTGACGAGTGTCAGATGGGCCAGGCGGACTGCGCTCACGGTTGTCGTAACACCAGGGGATCTTTCATGTGTGTTTGTCCCACTGCCTATGAGCTGGGTGTTGATGGCAAGCAGTGCTATCGTGAGTATGATCTGAGACTGGACTGACCCTGTCAAATCGCATGCAACACGTCTCACATACATGTGCACAAAACAAGAAAAGGCCATTAAATAATTTGTTTCTCATCATCTGTAGTGTAAATTATAGAATAGAATGAAATACATACATATATATGCAAATATAATACGCACACAAATGTGTGTGTGAGACGTGCACTCCAGCTTCACTTCAGAGACAGGCGCTAGTCAAACGAACACGGGAACGGTATTGTGCTTGTAGCGCGTGCTCTTAAATTGCACGCCTCAAATGCGTGAGAGCACACTGTAGCATGTATCATTTCATATCAAAGTGCGAAATAAACTACGAGCATGCAATGTCCTAGTTATGTTGTCAGTTAAGTCCTGAAGTTACCAAAAAGGCGACTAAAGCTGCCTTAAAACTATGCATGCATGTAAGTATTTGTTTTATGAGTTACATTTAAGAACGTCTCTGAAATGGTTTTCTAAACTGTCCTGGAGCAGCCCAGCACTGTCTCCTTCATCTAACACACTCGATTCAACTCTGTTCAGTTCATTAGTAGAGACTTTAAGACCTGAAGTGAGTCAGAAAAGTTAGTGTTATGAGAAAGTATGATGCCTGTCAGATCCGCATCATGTTCAGCAGCGGCAGCTCTTAAAGTAATAGCAGCCAAATAGCCTAATTACCTAGCTGCTGTGATGTCTGTTAATCAAAGAACAAAAGACAAATGAGGAAATCTAAATTTTTTGTTGATTTAAGGATTAATCTGTTTAATTTAGAATTTAGTGTTTGAGAACTTTATTCAATTTCTGTATATTTCCAACTTGCTGAAGGGCACATGTAGCTAAATATGACATTTATTATAATGGGTTTATGTGAAGATTTTTTATGTGAAGTTCACTTAAATTAGAAGTACTTTTTTAAAGTCTAATAAATGTTAAAATTGATAGCTCTCAGTTATACTGTAATGCTGAATGGCTATAGTCAATGTTTAAATATTAGGGGGGGGGAACAATAGCAGAGATCAGTAGTATTGGTATCAGTGATACTGGGCTTCAGTCATAAAAAAAGAGGCCATTAAATAAATATTAAAAATATACTGTCTATTCTGTTTGTACATTAATTTGAAGATTGAATGTGAAATATTGCAATATAACAGTATATGTAAAAACTTTTTACATATAAATTAATTGGTGGGATTAATTGCGATGTGATTACAGGCCTCTCTCATCTTTTTAAGTGGGAGAACTTGCACAATTGGTGGCTGACTAAATACTTTTTTGCCCCACTGTATATATATGTTTAGTTCAATAATGTTTTTCATTTAACATTTTGTAAAATTGAAAAGAAGTTATAGAAGTATAAGTTTATTATTATGAAAAATGCTAGAGAGAAAATCAAAGTCGTAAGTCTAAACAAGCTGTGTTCCAAATTTGAGGTTGATACCTCAAAAAATGTGCTTTCAGTAGGATTTTCTTTGGGAGCAGTACCAAATGTTTCCACTAGATGAAATTAGTTTCCCATTCATTTCCAATGCTGTGTGTGTGTGTGTGTGTGTTTTCACTCTCAGGTATCGAGATGGAGATTGTAAACAGCTGTGATCATAATAACGGTGGTTGTTCTTATCACTGCGAACATTCAACCACTGGACCTGTGTGCAGCTGTAACCAAGGATACCAGCTGGACGTCGACCACAAGAGCTGCATCGGTAAAGAAAACTAATGTGACCATTTCCTGTTTTAGTAAGTAGTTTACAGTAAGCATGTGAGGTAAAGGTGTGTGTGTTCTCGTCTGTCAGATATAAACGAGTGTATAGACGGCAGCTCGTGTTGTGAGCACGACTGCACAAACTATCCTGGAGGTTACGAGTGTTACTGTACAGCTGGATATAGACTGAACGCTGATGGATGCAGCTGTGATGGTACGACATTCACAGAGAGAGAAAAAAAAACATTTACAGTGATTTAGAAATCTAGATCCAGACGTGTGTGATTACAGATATAGACGAGTGTTTGGCTGCAAACGGAGGATGTGATCACACGTGTCAGAACAGCGCCGGCTCCTTCCAGTGCTCCTGTAGACGCGGCTATCGTCTCGATGAGGACAGACACTCATGTATATGTGAGTTTTCAGCCTGCCGTGAACCTCCTTTCTTTTCATAATTATTTTTTATATCAACAATAAATGAATTTTGAGCTCATTGAAATAAAACATTGCAGAGAAAACTGTATATGAGAGATTCATCAAATAGGGGAAATTATGAAAATTATATTATATTACTGTATATTATATTATATTATATTATATTATATTATATTATATTATATTATATTAATACATCAAATAGGTGAAATATTCTGCCAGCTAGAATGATTTAGAAAAATTTATGTATCAAAAACAATAATTCAAGTTTTAAATTATATATTTTACGATAATTAGTGTATAGTATGTTTTTAATGTAAAGGTCTGTTCTGGTAAAGTGGATGTTAACTGACTCATTGTTGGGAAGTGATTTAATGTAAAAACTTAATTTAGTTTAATCAAGGTCATGATAACTGCATTTTGCAATGATGTGATCAGATCAGATCTTCATTCCTTGACATATTTTAACATAGATAACATGATTCTATTTGACTGAAGATTTCAAGATTTTAAGTCGTAAAACACCAAAAATTTAAGATTTTCACAGAAATTGCAGATATTCAAATATAGTTTCAGAAATGTAACATTATTGAAGTCCATATAGTACATTTTAAGCAAACGTAAAGGCTAATTAAAGTAAATGTGTGTGTGTATGTGTGTGTGTCAGTGAGGGCTGAAATGATTAGTCAACATTATCAAAAACTTCGACAATAAAAAAACTGTTGACAAATATTTTTGTTGTCGAATAGTTGCTTGATATCATTTGACCTAATGTAAGTGCCTGCAATAACACAGTTTGACCAGAAATCCATTTCAAATAAGCTCTTTGCTGATTGGCTTGTGCTGCAAAGCGCCATGCAAATTTCCTGCTCGAGTTGAAATTCATCGATTTAGGTGAATGTGCTGTGCGTTTTCCTCTCAATAACAAAATAAAATAAACATGCAATAAAAATGTCAGTGGTGAGAAAACAACAGTTAAGAAAGCATCTTATCATAGCGATCATGGATATGTTTGTATGTATGCTTTATACAATAGATTGCTTTAAAGCAAGCAGTTTACAGTAATAAACATGAAAAAACAGTGTCAGTCTCGTTTTAAGTTAGAATTAATACTTGATTTAAATTAAGCATGATCTAGATTAGGACTGTTTTGAATGATGATCATAACACTATCAGGTATTTTAAGAGAGATAATGTTGTGAATAAAATGGTTTATCCAAAAATAAAATGTCTCATCATTTAACTTCATTTTATTCCATATCCAGATGACCTACAAAAGGATTTGTTGGGCAAAATGATGTGTCAGTCAGTTACTTTACATTCAATGAATTAATTGGTGAATAAGAACGTATCTCTGCCATCTCATTTTATGTGCCAAATATATTTATTTGTATTGTAAAAAATAATGGTATAATAATTGCAGTAGTATAATAATGATATAATTGTTTGACATTTTCAAAAGCTGAAGTGATTTAGAATATGCATAGCTTAATTTTTTAACTAATTAATTTAACTAAAGCTGAATAATCAAAGTGTACTGATTATTCTGTGAAATTATTGTCGATTAATTGTGCTATTAATCGTTAGATTAATTGATTATCAAAATAATGGTTTGTTGTCATAGTGCTGAAGGAGTCGGTGGAGGCGTTGAGCAGTGGTCAGGTGGTGGACAGACCCCGACCTCAGCTCACTATTCTGCAGGACTATGAGAAAATCCTGGAGCGATACGACGACTATGAGGATGACACGGGAGAACTGCATGCTGAGAGCACCTTAACTGAGAAATTCAGTAAGAAGCAAAGTTTGTTTTTTTCTTGTCTTTTTTTGTTTCTTTTAAATATATCTGTATATATATTTTTATTAATTTTTAAAAATAGTTTTAGCTTCTTTGATGTTTCTTTAGTTTTAGTTTTTTTACTAGTTAAACTAAATGAAAATGAGAAATGTTGCTTTGGCAACTAGGTGAAATAAATGTAAAAAAAATCACTTAACTCTAAATTAATATTTATTATTATTATTAATAATAATTTTGTATTTAAACTAAATGAAAATGAGAAGTGTTGCTTTGGCAGCTTCAGTTAAGATTTTTTTTAATACATTTTTAGTTTTAGTTTCTTTAATGTTTCTTAACTAGCTGGAATAACTCTAAATTAAATAAAATTCACTTAACATTAATTTTTATTTATTAGTTTGTTTCTTTGATGTTTATTTAGTTTTAGTTATTTTAGTAGTTAAAATAAATGAAAATGAGAAGTGCTGCTTTGGCAGCTAGCTGAAAAAAAAAATCAGTTATAATATATTCAAGGTATCTTGGAGAGGTGAGGTGTCCAAGTCGCAACATCTAACTACTGGGGTGCCTCAGGGCTCAGTTCTTGGACCACTTCTCTTCTCTGTCTACATGGCATCTCTAGGTTCTGTCATTCAGAAACATGGCTTTTCATATCACTGCTATGCTAATGACACTCAACTCTACTTCTCATTCCATCCTGATGATCAAACGATAGCTGCTCGGATCTCAGCATGTCCAGCAGATATTTCTTGTTGGAAGAAGGACCATCACCTTCAGCTCAACCTTGCCAAGACAGAACTGCTTGTAGTTCCATCAAACCCATCGTTTCATCACAATTTCAACATCCAGTTAGGTACATCAACCATAACTCTTTCAAAAAAAGCCAGAAACTTTGGAGTTATGATTGATGATCAGCTGACTTTCTCAGACCACATTGCTAAAACTGCCCGTTCCTGCAGATTTGCTTTATACAACATTAGGAAGATCAGGCACTTTCTTTCAGAACATACAACACAACTCCTTGTTCAAGCTCGTATTCTGTCCAGGCTGGACTATTGCAATGCTCTCTTGGCAGGTCTTCCAGCCAGTTCTATCAAACCTT